TGATACCCAGAACTTTAGCCTCCTTCTAAAGACTTTCCAATACTAGTGCCACATGCAAACTCATTTAACATCTGAACCACTCTCTCTTAGATATCAGAGGGGAAACTGAGAGAGAATGTATCAGCAAGTTCTCTAAAGACCCTGCCCTAGCTATTTCCTTCAGGTGTGGCCTTGGCTCCCCCATACCCTGGGGAGGGACGCAGGTGTCAAAGCTGCACATAGAAGCTGAGATTTCACAAGGCTGCATAGTTAGCTTACTTCCCACCTCTGATAACAGTCCTGTGCAATGGTTAGGTCAATCTGCCCTTGTCCTCCTCCCTTATTCTGAAATTGAGAAGGTGGAGGCCAGTGACTCTGCCATAGTTAGTAACCCCAAAGTTAACCCTGATATGTAGTTAAAGTTTAATGAGACCTGTGTGGGGTGGGTAGGGGCAGGGATGGCTTCATGGGTGTGGGACTTGTGAAGTCTCAGAGGGGCTGCACTTGGTTGAATGTTCTGCTGCCACCGTCTTGAAATGCTTAACAATTTTTGAACAAGAGGCTCTGAATTTTCATTTTGTAGTAGATACAGGGTGGGAGTGGGTAGGGGATGTGCAGTCTTCTGGCTGGCTGTCTACCCTCCTAGGGCTGGCCTGGAAGCAGCTGGGCAGTGGTGTCCTGGAGAAAAACCCATGGACCAGCAGCCCCTCGTGGAGCCCTGGGCTGGCTCAGGTTCTGCTTTCTCACAGGAAATGCTCCATGCTCACTTGCTTGAAACCCATGACAAAGCATGGGTGTGTCTCCCCTCCCTGTACTTGGGCTGCTGACCCCCTGTATATTGTGCACCTAGTCCAGCCCAAGCGCTGTTGCCACCTGGGTCAGCCTGGGCCTGGAGCCTTGTCTGGCAGTGCTGGGTGCTGGCAACTGGATGCTTGCCACGGGCTCAGCTGGCCTGGAACATGCTGGGTGGTACCTGCTGGCCCTGCTCTGCAGACTTCTGCCTCTACTATCTGGTCTCCTTCTGGGTCTCACGCTGTGCCCTGGGCTGATGATTAGAAGGCACGAGGCAGGTCCTGGGATGCGGACCTGGAAGGCTGTGCAGAGGTAGAGCAGGAGTCCAGGTGCAGCAGGCCCTCCCAGGGCTCAGTGGAGCACATGAGTGCGGCCTTCCAACTGTTCAGTGGCCCTCTTTTCTGAACTAGTCCCTGCTGCAAGGAGCTCTATCTGGCTTCTTCATGCTTCCAAGCGTCACCATCATTACAATCACGCTCAATTCATTGGGCGACCTCTTCATCTACCCCCTCAGGGGCAAAAATCTGGACCCAGAGTTGCAGTACTTTACGGTGGGAATAGTTGGCACCTTACTCCTTGCCAAGACTTTGGAAGGCACAGGATGGGGACATCCGCATGAGCTGGGTGTCACCCAGAGCTGAAGGAGGGCATATTCACCGCATGAAAGGTGAATGGGAAGGATTCTAGGGATTTTTCTCTCCTGCCTGGTAGGTAGCAGTGTCTGCACAGCTTGGATGTCACAAGGGGAACCTGAGGGAAACCTTCCCAGTCTTCCTACACAATTCATAGGACAGGTATGGAGTGGGCAGGGAGTATGTCCATAATGTATGAGCTCCTACAAGTGCCAGGACAGAGCATGGGATCTGAGTTTTGCTCACCTCTTCCCACAGTCCCTGAGGCTGCTCAGGCGACGGACATACTCTGAGCCTGCTCAGGTAAGCTTGGACCTCCTGAGTGCTTCCGGTTAAAATCAACAATGGCCTGAAATATTGAGGCAGACCATGATGTATGCGAATTATTGGACCAGTGTGAACACGTCCTGGAGTTAGGTCAGATCCAGAGTGGAGGCTGTAAGGGGCTTGGGGAAACGAGACTACTCTTCGAGGACGGAAGTGGAGGGTTAGCTTCAGCACCACGAGATGAACAGCACCCGAGGCGCCTGGGAAGAGGCGATGACAGCCCCACTCCCCCACCTCGAGCTTTACCTTGGGAAACAAGGCGGAAGGGCAGTCGGGGCGGGCCGAGCTCCCGGGGCGGGCCTCAAACCCCAGAGGTTGTGTGGGGCTTGAGGGCGGTGTTCAGGGGATCGCGCCCAAGTTTAAGTCGGGGATGGGGGCGGGGGAGGGAGGGAGCCGTAGCTGAGCTAATCTGGGGACGTTGGTGCTCCAGTACAGTGGAGTCGGGAGCTGAAGACGGAATCCTGGTCACGCCCCCTGAGCAACCTTCCGGTTCGCTTGGAATTCCTGTAGAGACGCCGGCTCCAATGCCCGTTGCGATAAATACTCAGGCACCCGAAAGCCCAGGCTGCAGCCTCCACCTTCCACCCCAGGTTAAAAGGAGACATAAGGGCACCTTTGAGGGAGATGGAGGTGTGGAAAGGCGAATTCAGGGGAGGAAGCAGAGCAGTCGGCTGCGCTGACCTGGTGACAGCGAGGAAAGTTATGGACTGTGTTTTAGAAATCGCGTAGATGGCCCTATTCGGTTCAGATTACACGCCTCGCAGGAGCGGAGCCACCTCCCAGCCAGGGCCTCCCTGCAACCGCACCATCCCCAGCGCCTCTAGGTCTGGTCGTGGGGCGTCCCTGTCAGGGTGCAAGGGCGGGGAGCGCGGGGGGTGGTGGCGAGGGGAGGGAGTTATGGGGGGCCAAGCGGACAAAAGCAGAGGAGGAGCACTTGAGGTAGGCAGCAATTTTGGTCCTTGGGAAGTGGTGTGGGAACCCTGGACAGGTGCTCCTCTCCTGGCCCAAGGACCAGGATGAGGCCCAGGGCTTCCATTAATCATGACTCCATCTATACACAATGCCTCATCTCCTGAGCTCATATTCAAGGCCCATCACACCCTCACCTGTCCAGCTCATCTATGGCATGTCCACTCCACAAGCAGTCCCTGTTGGTTCCACCTCTTGGCCATTTCAGTCTTCTTAAATTGCTGATTCTGTCTACCTGGAACACCCTTCATAGTCAAGCTGATACATCCCCTTGGGCCTGAAATGTCCAGGTCCCAACACCTCCAATCGGGCAGTGTCTTCCCAGCTCTGTGCCCTTGGCCTGGGATCCCTGCTTTTGGTGGGTCTCTCATCTGAGCCCTGGCTAGTCTCTCCCAACTCTGAGGCTCTGAACTTCCTCAAGTCAGGAACCAGGTTGGCTTCTTCCTCAGCAATACTACACAGTAGGAGCTCCACAAATATTTTTCAGTGAATGAGCCTTGTCTTGCTTTACTCAGCATGGGTGGCCTGAACTGAGGAAAGGTGGGTTCCTATGGGCCAGTGGCTCAGGATAACCTAGGAGGGTCTCTGTGAAATGACTGTCCCAGGACTCAGCTGGCGCCAACCCAGATTTATCCAGTGCAGGATGTATAGGCAGTGTTATGAAATTTACATGGTGGGAGAACCTTGGAGCATTCTGAATTTATTTTACAGGTAGGGCTACAGGCCCAGAGATGGGGCTGTAATAGTTTCAAATCACATCACGAGGTAGCGAAGGGCTAATGTCAGGGTTCTTCAAAGATGTGAACCACCCCTGGAAAACTCAATCTTCTAGAGCAGCGGTTCTCAACCTGTGGGTCGCGACCCCTTTGGGGGTCGAACGACCCTTTCACAGGGGTCGCCTAAGACGATCAGAAAACAAAAAGATACATTAAGATTCATAACAGTAGCAAAATTACAGCTATAGAGTAGCAACGAAAATAATTTTATGGTTGGAGGTCACCACAACATGAGGAACTGTATTAAGGGGTCGCAGCATTAGGAAGGTTGAGAACCGCTGTTCTAGAGGCTCAGGAGACAGCCAGAAAACACAGCTTCCAATCTTAGCCCTAGTCTCCTAGTCCTTGGTCAGGTGTTGATCAAGTGCAAACACACTCTACTTCTGAGGTCTTGAGAAGAGCAGGATCAATCTATTGGTTATGCCCTGCGGAGCGGTGTTGAGTTCAGATTGCTCCTGGTGCTCTGTATGCTGGGGCCAGCTGCAGGTGAAGGGCTCACACCTGCAGAGCCTGAACCTGGGAGGACCAGATGTGTAGAGCACATCATCAGCGTGATCTATGGGGAAGTACAAATACTGCTGGCAGTTCCTCAAAAGGTTAATCACTGAGTTACCATGTGACCCAGCAATTCCACTCCTAGGTATCTACCCAAAGAAATAAAAACATGTTCAGGTGAAAACTTGTATGTGAATGTTCATAGCAGAATTATTTATAATAGCCACAAAGTGGAAACAATCCAAAAGTCTGTTAATTGAAGAATAGATACATGTGGTATGTCCATATAATGGACTATTACTGTTATAAATAGTTGGGAAATTCTGATACATGCCACAACACGGATGAAACTTGAAAACATTTAGCTAACAAGCATTCGCAAAAGACCACATATAATTCCATGTACCGTATTTGCCGGCGTATAAGATGACTGGGCGTATAAGATGACCCCCTAACATTTCCACTCAAAATACAGAGTTTGTTATATACTCGCCGTATAAGACTACCCCCTCTTCCGCACACCTTCCACACACCAAATAAAAGGTAAAACAATATCAGATTTGATTTCAACATTTATGTTTATATTCAAATGCTTATGACATGCAGGAAAACTGTCACAAGGCTGTATGTAATCAAACATATACATAAATCGCGATTCACGATTTTGCGCTATCATACTGGGTGTATGGTCGGCTGTGTGCGATTTTGCGAGTGTGGTAAAATCGCATAACAGCAAAATCGCATAACAGCCGAGCATACACCCAGCAGCGCTGCTGATGCCTGAACGGTATGTGGAATGAAGTGGGCGGGCATCGGGAGGCCACTATGGCACGGGGCAAGCACTATGGGCAGTCTATCTGAAGTGTACCTGGCGTATAAGACGACCCCCCACTTGGAGGCATATTTTTCAGGGCCAAAAAATCATCTTATACGCCGGCAAATGCGGTATATGAAGTGTTCAGCATTAACAAATCCACAGAGACAGAAAGTAGCTTAGTGATTGTCTAGGGCTGGTAGTGTTGAGGGGAAATGGGGCTGCTAATGGGTATGTGGGCGGGCTCACACTCCCTCCGCTCCAAGTTTGATAAGAGAAGGGGCCTCTCTGCTCGTTGGAAAAAGTGCATCTTCCTATAGGATGTTGGGTTGACACCCACATCCGTTCACTGGCTAGGCCATTGTGCATAGACTGTCCACCTACCTAGGTTTATTACATAGCCCCCTTTTCATTCACAATGGCTTGCCCCAAGTCACGCCGCGAAGTATGGGTAGGGCCAGTGATAGGACCTGAACTGTTGGAGGACAACCTCCTTCCACGCCAAGGTATCTCAACCTCCCAAGGACCCGAGAGACAAGCACAGAGTAAGGTCCTCCAACTTAGCACGTACGGGTCCCTCTCTCCCGCTCAGGACCTTCCACCAATCGAGTGTACGACGATCTACTTCTTGGTCTTGAGGACCAATCGATTGGTTTCCTTGCCAGGCGTTGCTGGGCGCTGTTTGGCTCTGGTTTGGGAAGTGTGGGGAGAAGGGAAACCCCCGCCGCGGAAAGCGTTTGAAGACGACTGGCGCCGGCGCAGAAGGTCCCGCACCCAGCAGCGCCTCGCTCAGCCTGGGCGGCGGCGTCTGCACAAGGTACTAGCAGCCCAAAGGCGCTGTCCCGCCCTAGGGTGCTCAGTGGGCTCCGGAGGCCAGGCGGGTTCGGGGGGCGGGAGGGTGTCCTCACTGCTCACTGCCATAGGTTTTAAGTCTTGTCAAGCCCTCCTTTTAAGTCACTCTCCAATCTGGCTTCCTCCCTCCTTCTCTATTGACTCCGTCGTTAAAACATCTCACTCGTCTTTTTACCGCTCTTTGCGTCTCCGTTTTGAAGCAGTGTTTTTTCCAAAGAAATTATTTGCAAGCGGCCCTGCTGTGCTGAGAGCGGGGGTAGAGGGTCTAGATTCCTGAACACCTGTCTGTGTACCGCAGAGCTCTGGGTTCTGCCTCCAAGCACATTCCTATTTTTTCTAGGTTGCCCATAATATACAAAAACGGTGGCGTTGGAAACTTGACTCACCTGGTCGCCAATTCTTCCGCTGAAAGGAAGATAAGTTAGAGTTAATAAGATTGGAAAAAACGAAAACTAATCTGAGCAACAACAAAAACATGTTACTTAATGCAATGCCATTTGAGAAAAAGAGCCGTCCACAAAAATAATACTCAGTTCTCTGGAAGTGAAATTAATTAAAAATGCAGAGGAGATGCCAGAATGCTCAGCAGGTGTAAGGAAGTAGAGGGGTTCTGGAAAATTCCTAGCTGTATTGATATAAATAATCCAAACATCAAGTGCTGAAGTGCACGCTTCTGCTTTACCCGGCAGGGTCAGGACTGCTGTAGTCCCAGCTGCCAGCTCACTCCGCCTGTGGGCTCCTGGGGTTTGCTGCCTGCCCTCTAAGTGGGGTAAGTGGGCCCTGGAGCTGTGATGAGGCAGGACAGCCAATCCTCACAGTCACACACAACATCCCTGAGGTCATGTTGCATTTGTAGATAATTTAAAATTAAAAAAAAATTAAAAATCATCTATAATCTCACCACTTTGATGCTTTTGCTGTATTTTCCTTCAGATTTTTTTCTTTCTATACACAACCACACACCAAATATAGGATGTATGGTAATTTAGCCATTAATTCTGATATTAAATATTTGGATTGTTTTTAATTTTTTTTTTAGTTTTAAAAATAATGCTGCTATGAGCATGATGCTAAATAAATTCTTTGAGAATTTGATTATTTCAGTAGTAGTGGGATTAGTTCATTCTTAGAAGTAGAATTACTGGGGTCAACGATATGAAGGTTAAGCTTCTTGGTACATACTGCCATAGAACCAATAGGAGATACACACACATACACACACACACACACACACACACACACACACACACACGGTGCCAAAAAAAGTATACACATTTTAAGAAAGGAAAAAACTATTAAAATTGTAATACTCAATATACTCGTATACCAATATCAAAAGATGAATACAAGTCACATTTGACTTCTGCAATTACAAGAGGTGCTCAAAGTGGTTACCATCAGTGTCCAGACACTTCTGATTATGGCAAACTACTGCTTGAGCATCGCTGACCAAAGTGTCCACTTGTATACATTTTTTTGGCACCCTGGTATATATCTCCCAGTCAAGTTGACATATAAAATTAGCCATCACAGGAGTGAATTATTGACACATGCTGTAACATGTATGAAGCTTGAAGACATTATGCTAAGTGAAAGAAGACAGTCACAATGGGTTACTTACGGGAAAGGGTTTACTGGGGTAGCCCACCTGCCCCTCATTGGTATCCCAGTCATATCTGTTCCCACAGGGGCAGGGGCAGTGCTAAAGACTGACAGGGGGAGGACAGAGGCCACCCAGGATGGGACCTCTGGGGGGCGGTACCACAGCTGGTACAAGGACATGTTATACAAAGCCATGTGGGGGAGTGGCAAACTGGTCAGAGGGGACCACCTGCCAGGGCCTCACTCATGATCTACCACTTTGACTTTTATAAGCCCTGCTTTGTCCATGAACCCAGGCTGCCAACATGCATGCAGAAGAGAGTGGAGCTTGCAGTGTGTTGGCCCTGGGCCAGACACTGGAGTTGGGAGGGCAGGGCGGCGGGTGATGAACAGTGCACCTTCAGGCTTTCTGGGGACTCTCAGTGCCCTGAAAGAGACAGGCAAGGAAACAAATGAGGACAGAGTGGTGACTGAGAAGTGCCGTGACTGAGGGCAGTGCTAGAGGAGGTGAGGACAGTGAGTGGGGGTGCCAAGCATGAGTAAGAGGAGAGGGCATCTCTGAGACCTACACTGAACTGGGCAATGAAGTGGCCCACGCCTCAGCTTCTGCACAAAGCCTGACTTCCCAGAATGCACATCAGCTGGGCAGTGCCCACAGTGGTCACCTCCCAGGATTGTTCCCGACATCTGTGCTGGACTTGGCCTGAGGCCCACACAGCTAATCTCAGTGGCCCTCTGGTGTGGTTTCAAATTTAATTTATCTGTATCTAATTAATACAGGTAGGTGATTGAAAAGAAAAAGAGTAAGGCTTATGACAAAAACAGTATTCTTGTCCCACATGACCCACTCCAGTTCCCTCCTTCCAGAGGCAGCTACTTTCAAATTGTTCTGCAGGTTTTGGAGTATTTATGTCCATATCTTTAAATTATATTCTACTTTGTTACTCATCAAGTTTTTAATTTTAGATATCTGTTCATTTCCTACTTTAATGAGGATTCAGCCTTTACTTCCCCTACGCTCTCCATATTATTTTATTACAATTTCTAATTAATATGAAGTGTCTCCATTATTATGACCATGTAAAAGTTCACAGCAGAACCTTGTAATGCAATAGGATTGAATTCCCTGTTCTGCAAAATGTTTGTTTTTCCTGTAGTTAATAGTTCATACATTTGATGTCATATTTAAGACTCTTTTCCAAATCCTTGGTCACTCCCATGTTTTCTTCTAGAATTTTATAGTTTTAGCTCTTTACATTTAGGTCCATGATCCATTTTTGAATTACTTTTTCTACATAGTGTAAGGTTATGGTTGAAGTTCTTCTGGGGGGTGGGCACAATTGTTGAAAATCAATTGACAATATAGTATAGATCTGTTTCTGGACTCTCTCTTCTGTTTCTTGGTACCTACTATTAATTCATTCCCAACCTGACCACCAGAGCTGGAAAACACCCATCGATCATGCCTACAATCACACAGCATCCCTCCAGCCCCTTTTCTCCTACAGACATCCTGGGGCTCTCAGACCTCCTGCTCCTGTTTGGACTGGCAGCTGCCTAGTGCTGCTGCCGTGTAACTTACCCAAAACCATCTCTGCCCCTTTATCTGGGGATCCCCCACCTCTCTCCTACACAGACACCCTTTTCTGCATCCTGCTACTTCCTCAGTCTTAGCTCATTTCCTTGTGTCTATTGTGGAGCACATTCACTGGCAATTTCCTGGAAGGTGAGTTTCTAAGAGCTTGAACATCTCATGATATCTTTCTACCCTCATGTTTGATTGATGTTTTCCATGGATATGTAATTCTGTTGGAGATAATTTTCTCTTCAAAGTTTGAAGTCCTGTTCTTCTGTAGTCTTCCAGTGTACTGTAGCAATTCCTGGTCCCTAGTGTGTGACTCCTTTTTTTTTTCCCCACAAAGTTTTAGGATATTCTTTTTATCTGTAAGTGTTGTTAAAATTGCCAGTGCTGAGCTTTCTGTGGAATTTCTCATCCATTGTGTGGCTATGTGGTATGAGTTCCTTCAACTGTCAGTTCAAACTCTTTCATTATGGGAGTTAAAAAAATAGTTCTAATAATTTCCTCCCCACCCTTTTCCCTTCCTAGAACTCCTATTAATATGAAGTTAATCATCTAAGTTTCTTATATTTAAAAAAAATCTATTTTGTAACTCCTCTTTCACCTTCTAAGAGAGTTTTCTCAGCCTTAGCCTCCAACTCTGCCTGTTCTAGGTTCACAGGGGGCGGAAGTGGGGATGGAGACCACCCTGGCCATGTGTATGGGGTGGGGGTTGTTATTGCTTTGTACACTGCTCAGTGTGATGTCCCCAACCTCACCCCAGATAATCCAGGTTGTGGAATTCTTCTAGTTCATGTGGATGCCTAGTCATTCAATTTAGCAGGAGCCATTCCAAGGTGGGCTTTAGGGAAAATCTCTCTCGGTGGCCCCTGCAGTGGCCCCTCTGATTCTCTCATTCTGCCAGGCCTGCTGGACATGTTTGGATTCACACTTTTTCCCAACAACAGCTTGGCACAACTCTGGCTCAATTACTGCAACTACAGCAATGAGAAGCTCAAGCACTTCTTGCTCAGTGCCTGAGGGCCCTACTGCACTTCCTTCAGGACCCCACATTTACCCAGGATCTGCCTACCAGCTTCCTGTCTTCTTTGGGTGCTGTACATGTTGCTGTGGGGCCAGCCAGGGAGTGTCATGTTGACCCTTAGGCCACAAGATTTCCCCTCCTGTTCCCTTAGGATTATGTTGTTGAGAGCCTGGAGGGGTTGTTTGTTAATTACTGTAGTAAACAGAACTGTTTGGATCTGACAGAGGGGACCTCCATTAGCACCAGCTCCTTTATGGATGAAGTGGAGAACAGGGAACAGGAAGGAGGTTGCTGGAGTGAGCTGAACACCGGAAGTTGGTCTTTGAACTTTCTCTGGGGCTTTAGTGACTGTCCCATGCTTTCTCTGCCCCTCTGTCTTCCTATATGCCTGTTAACTAATACCCACTTTGTCTGTCTCTTGGGATCACTATGATGCTCAGGGTGGCACTAGTTATGAATCTATTGCCATGGGGGCTACAGTATGGGGCTCATGTGTGGGGGTGGGGTGGGTTTAACCTTCTCATCTCATGGTGAACTGCCCATTCCTTTTCCACATATGTAGGCGTGTCCCTTTAAGGGGCCAAGCAGCACTGCCTATCTTCAGACATGCATCCAGGGTGCACCAGCAGGCTATAAGATGAGAAGAGGCAGGCTTCAAGTCAAGCCACATGATTCACTATACACTCCTGTGCCTCGGCTGCTACCTCATCTCTCTCCTCCCTTGAACTGAGGCTTGGTTGATGTTAAGGAGATATGACCGGGCCCTGTGCTGCTGTGATGGTCACTTGTGAGGTTCTGGGACAAGCCAGAGCATGGTGTGTCCAGTGTGGGCTTGGTCCTGGGCACCAGTGCAGCCACCTGGATGCTCTTTCTGGTGCACTACCAGCCCCTCTTTACTGGACAAGTTTCTGCACCAGGAGCTATATCCAGCTTCTTCATGCTGCCCATCATGATTGTGCACAGCTCGCTGGGCAACCATGTCATTTACTCCTTCAAGGGCAAGATTCTAGACTCCAAGTTGTAGAGCCCTTCACTGGGGAGAGCTGATCTCCCCTGCCTGCCTAGACACTGAGTAAGGGGAGCAGTTGTAGGCATCTGTGGAAGTTGGGGGGTCATCCAGAGTGGAGGGAGAGGCATTTGAGGAATGTATGTGGGAGGAATTCCAGGAATTGTCTCACCAACCCCTCTTCTGGTAGCAGGACCTGCTGGGTTTGGATGCAGGTGAGAAGTTGAGTTCCTGGGAAGGGAATGGACACTTCCCAGTTTCCCCACACAACTCATAGGACAAGTCAAAAGGGGGCAGTGGAGATGCCCATAGTGTGTGAATGCCTACTGGTGCCCGAATGGAGAACAGGAGTTCCTGTGTACTGTACTCTCCTGAACCACGTGGGCCCGGGACAAACATTGGCCCTCCTTGGGCCTCCTCACGGAAGCTCAGGTATCTGAGACAATTCCAGTTTAAACCTGCTGAGGCAAACAAGCATCCTTGAGAATTATTAAGTCAGTCTGGACTATATCCTGGTTGGGAATGGCAGCTGCCAGCTGGGACTGCGCTGTATTCTCTGGCGACAGGGCCCAGGACGCTTCAGCACCACGGGCTGGACAGCGCCTTGGGGTAGGTGGGAGGTGCCATATAGGGATAACTGTCCTCACCTCACAGCCAGAACTTCTCAAGGGGGTGTGGGTTCCGGGGTGGGCCTTGAACCTGCGGGGGCCAGGTATCCTCCTAGTGCGGCCGAGGAGGTTGACAAAGAAGGAGAGGTATTTAGAGACTGCGCGAAATGTGGCTTTGGGAGGGCGAGTGCACGTGGGAGGAAGAATAGTTAACAAGTTGGGATCCCTTCTGGGGGCCGGGATGAGGCCATGGGTAATGCCCCATCTCCTGAGTCTGACTTCTCAAGGCCAGTCACAACCCGCTTGTTGGGACTTGTCTTTGGCCAGTCCACGTCCCAAGACTCCAGGACCCAGAAACTCCTGGGTTGGGTCTTCCCAGCTCAAGGGGGAGAGGGGGCTAGGGGGGGGGCTCATTCTGGGCCCCACTTCCTTGGATTGGAAGTCGTTCAGCAGGTCACTGGTCTGTGCCCTGCTCAGTTTCCCTACCTCCACCCCAAGGAAAAGCACCAAGTCGGCTTCTCCCCACGGGTCCAGCGCCCACTCAGTGCCAGGAACACAGTAAAAGCAGCTCCATAATTGTATGTCGGGACCGGTTTTGTCTTTCTTTTCTCAGCGTGGATAGCCTGGACTGGAAAGCAGAGTGGGAGGGCAGGTGCCTGCGCTAGGCAAGGCTGGTGGCCATGCGAGGCGTGTGTCACATGACCCAGCTGCCTGCGTCCATCTGCATTAGCCAGCGGGGACTGATGTTGGCTGGGAGAACCCGGTACTGCCTGGATGCTGGATGCCTCCCACGGAAGCCGCCCTTTCTTGCCTCGCATACACTGTTTTGATGGACTGCAGGCCCAGAGAGGGGCTGCGAATTGCCCCAAGTCACACAGCAAGGCAGGAGCTCAGGGAAGTGTGGGGCTGTGGTCGTCAGTGGTGCTTCTCTGCTCCCAGCTGAAGCTGTGAGAAGGTATGGACACAGTCAACTGAGCGCTCTGAAACTGAAAAGAAATAAAGAAGAAATAAGAGTGGGGGGAGGAGGGAGACAGAGACAGAGACAGAAATAATTTCAAAAGGTGCAGGAAAAGCAGACTCCCTTCAGTTGCTCAAGTGAGTATCCTGGACTGAGAGGGAAGGTGAGGCTCTACTGGGTCTTTATCTTAAAAGCATAGGTGTTTCTCCAGGCTGTTGGTTGTTTTTCTTGTTCTTTTTTTTTTTTTAAAGAAAGTTTACTGAGGAACAGTGTGTTTTTCCGGGACCCATCAGCTCCAAGTCAAGTAGTTGTCTTCAGTCTAGTTGTGGAGGGTGCAGCTCTGCGGCCCATGTGGGACTCGAATTGGCAACCCTGGTGTCATAAGCACTGCGCTCTAACCACCTGAGCTAACCAGTTGCCTCAATGGTGGTTTTTTTAAAGTAATTTCTGACTTTGGTGCTGACTTTAGAACTTAACCTTTATGAAGAAGAATAATAGTGTATTCAAGCCTTTACAGTAATGCTGGCATCACTGCAGGGGCAGGTTGCTAGTAGCGCTAATGACACCTTTATTTTTCTCCTTTTCCAGTTTGAAGCTGAAATGATTAACAGCTAGTTCCTTGTTAACTAGAGGCTGCACATGGCTGCCACCATCACCAAGCATGCGTGGCAGAGAGGAGCGTACCTGATTGTCCGGCCTGAGGAGGCAAGGAGGGTAAAGGAGGGAGACTTGGCTGAATTTTCTTTCTTTATAGAAATAAAAGTTTTCTGGACTGAGGACAGTATACCTGAAAAGTGCAAATGCCATAGAAAGGCAGGACTGGTAGCAGTAAAGTAATAGTATTTGTGCAGTGCTTAATAGTTTACAAAAATTTCCGTACTCCTCACAGGATTTCTCAAACTGAAAAACTGCATCCCAGCTCCAACCTCAGTCTATGAGTAATCACTACAGGTCCTGGGCAAAGCTCTGCCTTTCATCCTGTTTCTATGCAGAATGAAAAGAATGTTCACCTTTATAAGCTACCTCAGCTTGTGAGTATGTACAAGATAGAACTGTCGTGAAGACTGAATGAGCTACACAAGTGTTAAGCACTATTAATATCTATTTCCCTCTAAAAAATCAAATCCACTGACCACCAATGTCAGCCGATGACATAACTGAGGTGAATGCTGGGGACCCACTCTATCCTCCAAGGCTTCAGCCCTATGAAGGGCCAGTAAACTAGGTGCTCTGTAAACACCTGGTAACGTGAATCCCCTGTGCTTTCAGCATGGGCAGGAATTGCTAGCACTGCCTGAACCCACGTGGAAGTTTTGGAAGGGCAGAAATGGGCCATCCCCTTGCTGCCAATATTCAAGACCTCTTTGGTGGCACCAGGAGGAGCTGTTTTCAGAGCCTAGTGAGGAAAGAGTGAGGATAGAAAATACACAATGGAAACACTTTCACAAAGCTGCCAAATTATTGTCCTCATGAAGGCTGAGGCATGAGGAAAACATTCCTTTTCTTAACTAGTCTGGGAACTAAACTTTTGAACTTTCCAATCCTGTGTTAATGCCCGGACATTTATTTACCTGCAGATAACTCTGATTACCCCCAAGGGACTTGGGACATGCCCATCTTTCAAACACCTGGCATCTATCATCTAGATCACCTGATAACTGACTAATAACCATCTGGACCAATCTGAGGGCTAAGAATGCAGGACTGATTAATCTCAAGGACTTTTACTATAAGAACTCAACTTTTTTTTTTTTGGGGGGGGGTGTTTGCTTAACTGTGTTTCCAGTTTGCAAACTCTAAGACCCTTTGTCATTTATTTCTTGCAAAGCCTACAGATTCTTTTAATTCATTTGACACTAGTATGGTGCATGACACCCAGGAGATATTAAAGAAAGCCTGGCTGGATGGGTGGCTGAGGTGACAGCTCACTACTAATGTAAGCTGAGGTGCCCCCAGCAGCAGCAAGGTGACCTAGGCCAAAGGCAGCCTCCCTCCCTAGACCCAGCTCAGGTGAACTGACAGCCCTGGCCAGGCCCATGCAGGGAGACCCAGAGCCATGGCTGGAGAAGGCTCCCGCCAGCAGGGTGCATCCCTCACCCCCTAAACCACACCTCTGCTTCCTGCCCCTATTTTTCTTGTTCTGAATGATGCCTTCAGGCTGCTCTATACGATCACCCTGAGGACATGTGCACCCTGAGGACATGTGCTCGCACTGCTGGTGCTCAGGGCTAAGGAAGCTGCTGCTCCCTAATGAAGCCACGGTTCTTGGCTCCCTGCCCCAGCCCAAGTCTCCTCTTTCCTTTCAACTTACCCTACTTGAAAACCACTTTCTAGGTTGGTTTGTTTGAAGTCAACCAACCCACCTTTGTTTTCCATTGGCTTTTTAGTTTTTGCAGTAACAGCTGATCTTATCTTTTTCTCAACAGGATGAGTTTCAGGATTGCACTGCTTTGAAAGAAACACAGATTTCAGGAGCACATCATGTTTGTTTTAGTGACAAGGCTGCACCTCCCCACTGAGCCAGCCTCTAGGTGGGAGCATATGCAGGAGTAAGGGACGTGGGTGGGGGTGGAGATGGATGTGGAAGAATATCAAAGATCAAAATCCAGGCCACTTATGCTTTCCATAAGATCAAACTGAGACTGGCAGAAGACTGGCCAAAGGCGGCAGAGCTGATGTCTTCCCAAAGGGAAGAAGGAGTCACGGGTCCCAAGTCCAAAGGCTAACAGGGTAGATGACATTAAACCTTAAGTCTTGAGAATAATCCTCTTTGGCTCAAATCCCTGTCCTCTAGACCCACTGGGGCAGTGTCATCTCCTCCATGGTTCTTCTGGGCTGATTCTCTGCCTTCCAGGCCCACTAGGGTGGTAATATCACACCCATGGCTAAGATGATAATGGCTCTGCCTGCACCCTGTGACTGCTGGGTCTGTGGCTGTGTGTGTGTATGCGCGTGTGCATGCGTGTGTGTGTGTGTATGTGTGTGTGTGTGTGTGTGTGTGTGTGTGTGTGTGGGCACCCCTGAAGAATGGGTGGGGGCATTCTGGCTCACTGAACCAGAGAGGCAGCCATGGCCTTTGAACCTGCTGTGTCCTGAGGGCCCTGTACTCTAGGCTAAGGATCTCTGAATAGCTGTCAGGGTCACTCTTCCATTGTCTTGAAGAATGGTACCTGGCTTCTACTGAGATGGCTAACCCATACTAAGCTGATCAAATGGTCACTTGGCCACACCATTAGTGTTTTCACTTTTTGCAATTGGATAGGCTGAGAATCTTTGAGTCCTGTTTCCTTTTGGCTTAGCAGCTTTAATTTCTGCTTCCCTTTTAACGATTCTATCTTTAAGTCATTTCTTTTTTCTTACATTTCAGTATAAACAGTCACAAGGAGCCAAGCCACACCTTCAACACTTTGCTTAGCAATTTCTTCAGCCAAACATCCTGTTTCATCACTTGCAAGACCTACCTTCCACAAAACACTGGAACACAAACACAGTTCAGCCAAGTTCTTTGCTACTGTATAACGAGAATCGCCTTTGTGGACATGAGCATGTCCAAACCTGAATTGTTATAAGAGCTTCTCTGAGCCAAACTGACAACATGCTGGGAAGAAACATCTCAATGCTCAGGAGAAAGACAGTTTTGCTGTTTCTTTTATACATTTAGAAATAAGGAGGGAACATAAGGAAGATGACATGGAGGTGGGAGAAAGCAAGGTAAGGTTAGTTAACAAGATTATGTGCTCCCTTGAAGGTGGTTACCCCTCTGTGGAGTCTGAAAAAAGAGGATTACTTCTGGCATTACAAAAGTGTGTTACCCTAGATGCACAAAATCAATGGACAGGGCTTGCTTAAGGCAAAGATAAACCTTTTTATAAGGGTATGACTACCCACCATGACCTTCCCAGTTAGGAATTTTATGATCAGATCACCCTTTGAGGTTACTTTCAGTCACTGAGCTTGTGCGTACCCCTTTTTTGTTCACACCTTTCCTCCGTTTTTCAATGTGTTCCTATTTCCATTTGAGACCTCATCAGAATGGCCGTTACCATCCATATTTCTACCAACTTTCTGTTCAGGATTACCCATGTATTCTCTAAGACAGGGGTGTCAAACTCAATTAAAACACGGGCCATTTGGTGCAACAGGCAAGGTTCACGTGGGCCACATCACATTTATAAATTTTGTTAAATTTATATTCTGAAGTGAGGATTCAGGAATATGGATAGGATAATTAAAACACTATATAATTGCTTTTATTTAAACATTTATTTTATTTAATGTATTTATAAAACAAATTATTCTTTTTTACCCGAGTGCTCTTTTTAACCTTTTCGCTGTTGGGATCTGTTTACATTATGTGACACTGAGAGTGGCAGACATATCGCTTCCAAACATTGCCGGAACTGAGTCAGTGCGTTTATACACGTCCACAGGCCCCCAGGAAAGGCACTGGGCCACGTGTATACTCGTCTTCAGTAGTTAAAGGGTTCACGAGGGAACTGTGTGTATGGTATTGCCTCGATCTCCCCTAAGCGCTATTTTCTTCATAACAATTTTTTCTATTTTCATTTTATTTCAGAGCATCGTGGGCCACAAAAAATTACCTTGAGGGCCGCATGCGGCCTGCGGGCCGCCAGTTTGACACCCCTGTGCTAATACAATGGAGGCGTTCTCCATAGCTCTCCTCTCCTGAGCTCTCCCCAGAATTACCTTTAAAGGTCCATTTACAGCAATGTAGGCTTTCTCTAGCATGTATCTCAAAATTCTTCTGGCCCCTCCCCATCACCCAGTTCCAAAGCCTCTCCCATGTTTTTAGCTATTTGTTATAGCAGTGCCTCACCCCTGGCATCAGTTTCTATGGTAATCTGCTTGGGCTTCTATAACAAAAATACTATAGAATGGGTGGCTTAAACAACAAACATTTACTTCTCACAGTCCTGGAGGGTGGGAAGTTTAAGATCAAGTTGCTGACAGATTCAGTGTCTGGTCAGAGCCTGCTTCCTGGTTCATAGCTGGTTGCCTTCTCACTGTATTCTCACGTGGAAAGAGGGTAGGAGAGTGCCCTTGGGGTCTCTTTTATAAGGGCACTAGTCACATTCATGAGGGATCCACCCTCCTGACCTAATCACTTCCCAAAGGCTCCACCGCCTAATACTATCACATTGGGGGTTAGGATTTCAACAGATGAATTTGGGGGCGGGATCACAAACATCCAGTCTATAACAGCCTCCCTGCCAGCACTTGGTATTGTCAGTGTTTTTAATTTTAGACATTCTAGTATGTATGTAGTAGTATCACATTGTGATTTTAATTTCCATCTGGAATTATTTTCCTTTTGCCTGAATACTGTATTTCCCCATGTATAACACGCACCCTTTTTTGAAAAACTTGGGGTCTAAAAACTGGGTGCGTCTTAAACAGTGGTTGTAGATTTTTTTACTTGCATTTCCCACTGAGGATGAGGCAATATATGAAGACTGATTCGTCATCAGACACAGATGAGGACAAGCTAATGGTTGGGAGTTTTGACAGTGATGAGGAGTTGTATGAATTTTATGATGAATAAAACTTGAGTTTAATAACTTTATGTAATACATTTTTTTCCAAATTTCGGGCCCCAAAATTAAGGTGTGTCTTATACATGGGAGCGTCTTATACATGGGGAAATACGGTAACTTTCTTGTGAAGAGCTGCTGGTGAAGAATTCTCATGGCTTCTGTTTGTCTTAAAGGTCTTTATTGTGTCTTTAGTTTTAAAAGATGGGGAAGGAAACTTGGGGTCTCAGTTCCTCTTGGCTTCTCCTCACTGAGCAGAGTTCCTATGCATCTCTGCCACGTGGGAGCTAGAGATGAGTTAAGACGTTTGTCCAAAGCCTTGGCTCCACTCCCACTCCACATGGGACTCTTAGAGGCTTCTTGGAGAACCTGGTTGGAAATTCCTGATTCCTTTGATCTCTGTCCTAGGAAATGTAACGTGGGAGATGTATGTGGATTTGCAAGTGGGGAAAGGGTGTGAGAAAAGAAAAGTGTGAGTTTGTGGGTGGTAGGGTGAGTGAATTCATGAAACAATGGTGACCTTTACTGTCTGTACTTTCCCAATAGTTGCGGGACTGTGGATAAGGCAATTATCTCTATCCCTTTTGTTTGGAAGTTCTCCTTGAAGTCTAACTGTAGGTCAGACTGTGATTGTCTAGAGCTGGGGAAAGAATGTCATTTCACGACTATAAAATAGCATGCAGAGAGTCAGAAACCAATTACTTGGGTCCACTCCACCAGAACTGCAGGCCTCCTTTATTTGACTCCCACTAGCAATCTCATGCACTTGAACACCTGAACTACCAGAGGAGAATGTAAAAGAACAGATGAGAACATAGCAATAGGTCCTCTAAACCCCATTGTAGACACTTCTGGTGCTGGTCCTGAGTCCCTCATGCCCTGGGGAAGGATAAAGATGTTAGAGCTGCAGACAGAGGCTGAGATTTAGCAATGCAGCACAGAGAGCCTAACCTTATCATCCCCTGTCCTCTGATAGTTCAGCATGTAACCCATGTGGGCTGGTTAGATTGATCTGTGTGCCCCGCCATTGTATCGGGGGACGGTGCAGGGCAGTGGCGAACGTCCTAGTTAGTAACCCAAAAGCTCCCAAAGTAAGGTTAAACTTTCACCAGGCTAATGTGGGTGGCCAGCTTCCAGCTGGATCTCTATTTCCTGGGGCTGCCAGAAAGAGTGGGGCAATGGGCACTAGGGGCAAATGCCAGTTGCATTTGGAGCCCTTCCTGACGTGGGCCTTGCTTTCGTGGAGTCCTATGGTCGCCTGCCTCCGCACAGCGCTCTTTCCCGCTGCTTGGCGATGTTCATGGTGAAGGCCAGCGCCTGGACATACTCATGCCTGCGCTGCGAGACAGCCTTGTCTCCGGAGCAAGGTCGGTGCCAGTGTGCCTACACCACGGCCAATTTCAACCTGAAGCGCCCTCTGGCGGTGCTGGGCGTCGGGCCCGGGCGTCTCCGCGCATCTCTAGGCTTTGGCGTGGGCCCCAGGCTCTGCTCACCCGGAATACGCTGGACTGCGTGTGCCAGGTGGTAGAGCTCTGAGAACCATTCCGCCCCTATCATTATCTCGTCTCCCTCCAGGTCTGGCTCTGCGCCTCAGGCTGACACTAAGGAGGCGTGAGGCAACCTTAGACAGCTGCTAGGACGGGCATGGTGGTGGTGCTGGGAGACCCAGGGGGCCGCCAGGGGCGGCCGCATCAGTGCAGACATCTAGTTGCTGGGCCTGGAATCACACCTGTGTTCCTTCTCTGAACTAGCCACTGCCCAGAGGAGTTGGACTGGGCTTTCGTGGATTCTTGGTGTCTCCCAACCTCATCGCCACCATCACAGCTGAGTCACCTCCTTTCCTAGAAATTGGAGCAGGAGGGGTGTGGCTATCCATGGAAACTGGCAGTCTCTCAGAATAGAGGGAGGGCTATGTTTACTGCGTGGAATATACATGGGAGGAATTTCAAGAATTTTTTCTTTTTGCTGGAGCCACCATCACTGGACCGGAAGATAGGGAAGTCAGCGTGATTTGGATGTGGGTGAGGAGGGTTTGAGCACAGAAAATTGTGGAGACTTTCTGAGGCCTCAGCCTCCAAACACAAGTCACAAGAAAAGTCAGGAGCTGGCAGTGGTGATGTCCATAGTGGGCAAATTTCTACCGGTGCCAGACAGGGCATGGGATTCAAGTATGGCCTGACAAGTCACTGACCCTCTCTGGCCTATCCAGATCAGCATGGACCATCTGGGATGCTACTGTTTCAAACCAGCGTGGTCAGAACTGTTGAGGAAAACAAGGAACGCTGCAGATTATTGGGTCAGTGTGGATGCATCTTGGATTTTGGCCTGGGTCCTGGCTGGAGGCTGGAGGCAGGGGCAGCTGCATGCCAGGGCAGGTAGGCAGCCGGAGGGGCCAGTGCTGCTTCAGCAATGGAGGACCAGACAGCGTCCTCCAGACAGTCTGGTAAAGCCAAGGGAGGGATGGCTAGTTGGCTGATGCCCAATCCCAGCATGGCTCACAGAGGCTGATGGAGAACCCTTTTAGAGAGTCCTAAGCTCCAGGACCCTGGCCTCAAGGGACTTGGAGCCTGGGACCTGCACTCATGGGATGGAGACCAGAGCTCCAGGAGAGTTACAGAAACGTTGAGATATCATGTAAATAACTTTTTGTAGCACTTTATACATGGTCTCCTCTCTGCCTCACAACAGCTCAGGAAAGTACGCCTAAACATCCACTCTAATAGATGAGGGAGTTCAGAGAGGGTAACAAATCTCTCCAGGTCACACAGCCAGGGAGAGGTTTAAGCTAAGATTCAAATGGCTGCGTTGGTTGTAGCATATTCATCCCCACAGATGACAGTCTTGTGTGTGTGTGTGTGTGTGTGGGGAATTATAGTAGTGGGATCCTGAGGGTTGATGGGCCAACACAAAGGGAGAGGCATTTAGGATGAGGCCCAAGAAGGGCACCGTACATGTAGGGTGAAAGCCCTGGTTAGGCTGGGCAAGGCTCAGGGCTTCAGGGAAGAGCAGGGCTCCCAATAAAATGTGACTGTCCATTCCTAAAGCCCAAGTTGGCATTCAAGGCCCATCACAGTTCACCTGTCTGGGTTCATTAGGCTGGAATCCCCACCTCTGGGCCAGAAGTCTCTTCCCTGGGTAATCTGTTCCACTCAGGGCTGGGATTAGAGTGAGGCAAGTGAAGAACCTAGGGTGCAAAATTTAAGGGGGCATTCACTCTCAGGGGCGCGCAAGCGCAGGCTAGCACCACCTTACGACTGAGTCTCTTCCCTCTTACGTCTCCCTCCTGCCCTCACTCTAAGCCTTAAACTCCCAGAGGGCCGATTAACCTCTGCTAATCCCCGGGTGTCTCCAGCCTAGTGTCTGGGTAGGGGAGGGCTCACAGTTGGAGCTAAATAAACGTTTGTCAGTGATCAAGTCTCATCTTTCTTTCCCGTGAGAAAAATGGCCTAGGCTGGAAAGGGCATGTGTGTTTCACGTATTCTAACGACTCTAGTTTGGATTTGGACTTCTCATTTGCTAGAGGTAAATAAATGAGATGTGCGGGGAGAACCCAATGCCGGTCCAAGATTCAGAAAGTCCAAGCCAGAAGGTAAATGACATTTACATGCGGGGCAACAGAACTGAAGAGCGACGATGACCTGCTTGAAGCCACATGGCCGCGTAGGGACAGGGACAGGGCTCCATGACAAGTTCTTCAACGATGTGACCTAATTTGAGAAGAAAACCTCTGATGCAGCTACTGGATGCTAATCGAGTCTATCGATTTTCTTCTTATTAGGCCTGGAACAATGAGCAGGATCAATCGATTGCTTTTGGCTGCCAGTAAGTGCTGCGCGCTGATTGGTCCTGGGTAAGGAAACGGAAGACAAGGCGCGCGTGCGGGGAGTTGGGAGTGAGGCAGCTGAGAGACCATGGCGTCGCTCAATTGTAGCAGCGTCGTCTGCGTGATATGCTTGGAGAAGCCCAAATACCGCTGCCCCACTTGCCGCGTGCCCTAGTGAGTGCCCGAGGTCGTGGGGAAGAGGCGGGAGGGCAGGGCGGGGGCTGCTGGAGGGTCTGCGCGGCTTCCGGGACTGACGCAGCCTGTGGGTTCTGTTACAGCTGCTCCGTGACCTGTTTCCGGAACCACAAAGGTAAGGCCCCAGCGTCCCAGCCTCAGCCCTGGCGCCTCTCCTCGTGCGGCGCAGCCCACCCTTCCCGCCGCGGTCTCGGGGACGTGGATCCCTCAGGCCGCGCTCCCTCCCGGCCTTGCGCCCGAACTTGTCAGATCCCCTGGGGGACCTTTACCTGTGAAAGCCTTTTCGGATTTTGAACAATCAAAAACCTTTATTCTGCTCCGCCTTCTGCGTATCGTCATTTTTGTTTTCTTTAAAAATAGTCGACCGCTTTCGCCGGAAAAGTTTACTCAAGCCGTTTCTTCATCTTAGTGTTGCGTCGCAGCTCCTCACCATTTGGCAGAAGCCGCGCTGGCTAAGGTTAACAGGACCATTTTATTTCTTTTAAATAATGTCTTGTTAGAAACAGTGAGGTAGAACTATCTGTTTACAATAAGGAGCGATGCCCTCGGCTGTTAATGTTGTCAAGGGTATATTTTAACTGTTTCTCCGATCCGGTGCCTGTTCTCAGCCCTCAGAGAACCCTTTCCCACGACCTCTTGATCGGGTTGACTTTTACGTTAAAGTTCCTCGTTCGTTGTTTGTCTCTTTTCTTCTAACATCGCTGGGGCATTTCAAAGAGAAAACCTTTCAGCTAAAGATAGGAAAGAGGTAGAACTGTTTTGCTGGAGATCGGGTTGAGGAGCCGGGTGCGAAACACTTCCCTCTCACCCTGCAGCCCTGTGAGGGCCCCCTGAGAACCCCTAGGGTAATCACCAGGAGCTCTTGGCTGTTGTGGCCCTGCGCCTGCCAGGGTGAATTGTCTGAAATGTGAATTTGAGCAATTCACTCCCTTGTTGAAAACTCCAGTCTCCCTGGCAAAGGAGGTCAGTGGTTCTTAACCTGGATATTGCTCTCCCTAGGGAGACACGTTGCCACAATGTTTTTGTTGTTGCAGTAGCTGAGTGAGGAGGGGTTGGTGGTACCTCTGGTAATTGGTATTCTAATATCCTGCGGTGTGAGACTCCCTTACACCATTCAAGACCTTTCCACCCTGAACACAAGAGTACCCTTGCTGAGAGATAACCTGTCTTGGGAAGAAAGGTGAACCTACTGTGTGTGGCATTCTTTTGTTCCTGCGTTCTCCACTTGGGCCCCAGCCACATGCCAGGCCTGCCAATCAGCTGGCAGTTGCTCATCACCATCTGCTTGCACCCAACCCTGTTTCAAGGGTCCGGTCCAGCCACAGACCTTTCCCTCTAACAGGAACTTTCTGCTTGGCAACGCTTCCCCCTCCAAGACCTCTCTTGGGCTTGTCTCCAGGCCCTCGCAGGTGACTTAGATCAGCAGACCCTTCACATCTTATCCGTCTCTCTAGCTCTCACGCAGAGGACTAAACCCCTTTGAGGTGGGCCTGATGACTTTCATCTGTGTATTCCCAGTGGCACGTGTTACATGCAAATTTAGTATCTCAAACTGCTGAGAAAGTAGTCTGATGCTAATTGAAGTCAGTGTGCCACTGAATCGTAATAAAAGCCCTATGAAATTAGGCAGAGCAAGGAAGGATGGGGACAGGTCCTAGGGGCCTATGAGGCCTTTCGCCAGGTTTAGGGTTGCTTGTTTTTGTTATACTGTTCCTTGATTTGATCTCTCACTTCCTCTACATCCATCTCCAGCCCCATCCAAGTCCCTTACTCTTGCATAAGCTCCCACCTACAGGCTGGCTCGGTGGGGGAGGTGCAGCCTTGTCTCTAAAATTGAGGTGATATGCTCCTGAAATTTGTGTTTCTTTCAGAGCAGTGCAATCCTGAAACTCATCCTGTTGAGAAAAAAAGATCAGCTGTTACTGCAAAAACTAAAAAGCCAACGGAAAACAAAGGTGGGTTGGTTGACTTCAAACAAACCAACCTAGAAAGTGGTTTCAAGTAGGGTAAATTGAAAGGAAAGATGAGAGGAGACTTGGGCTGGGGCAGGGAGCCAAGAACCGTGGCTTCATTAGGGAGCAGCAGCTTCCTTAGCCCTGAGCACCAGCAGTGCGAGCACATGTCCTCAGGGTGCACATGTCCTCAGGGTGATCGTATAGAGCAGCCTGAAGGCATCATTCAGAACAAGAAAAATAGGGGCAGGAAGCAGAGGTGTGGTTTAGGGGGTGAGGGATGCACCCTGCTGGCGGGAGCCTTCTCCAGCCATGGCTCTGGGTCTCCCTGCATGGGCCTGGCCAGGGCTGTCAGTTCACCTGAGCTGGGTCTAGGGAGGGAGGCTGCCTTTGGCCTGGGTCACCTTGCTGCTGTTAGGGGCACCTCACAGCTTACATTAGTAGTGGGCTGTCATCCCAGCCACCCATCCAGTCTTTAATATCTCCTGGGTGTCATGCTCCTTGCCAGGCTTTGAAAGCTTCTCCTCCTGGTGGTGCCACCAAACAGGTCTTATACATTCACAGTAAGGGGAGGCTCTTTTCTGCTCTTTGAGAAACTTCTTTGTTGGGTTCAGACAATGCCAGCAATTTCTGCCTGTGCTGAAAGTGCAGGGAGTTCATGTTAGCAAGTTTTTATAGAGCACACCTAGTTTATTGGCCTATCAAAGAGCTGGAGCCATGGTGAGGGAGGTGGGGCGATAAGAATTGGCAAAAATCATGCTCCAAGCCCAAAAACCACAGGGAAACACATAGAGTAAGTGTGTGAATACTAGAATGTATGTGTTAAAGTCATCAGTTTTTTTCTTTAACTTCCCTTTTCGAAAAGAGGAATGTTGGTGTAGTCACAAATTCCAGAGAAGAAGTTATTTTTGTTTGTTTTATCTATACCTACTTGGATACCTGTTGCTATCACCTGTGTGCACATTTTATCTATTGGAGTGGTTAAAATCTGGCACCTGGGCTTTCTTTATAGTCATAAGCAGTAGATTGTATTATATATTCCTCAGATGATGACGACTCGATAGCTGATTTTCTCAATAGTGATGAGGAAGAAGACAGAGTTTCTTTGCAGAATTTAAAGAATTTAGGTAAGTCTGTGCTGTGCTTATTTATTCTTTGAAGATTTTTAAAGTTATTCAGTACATGCGTGTGGCATGCAGAGCCCTTCCTCTGGCCATACGGTTTTATAAACACCTCTCAGCCTTCCTACAGGGCTGTTCTCTTGGCCTGCAATTATACTGGCTTTGTGGGTTGGCAAAATTCTGTTCCTTCAAAGCTTGGTTCAAGTTGCCTTTCCTCATTTAAACTTTTGACCTTTTGACTCTGTAAGAATGAGACTGTTTTTCAGCTTCTCATGATGCCTCATAATATACCACTCACCAGATTTTATGGTAATTTGTCTCTCCCAAACCAATCTGTAGGGGAGGGACCTGCATTTATTTCCATGTTCCTAGTGCTCAGTTCATGGTCTAGCCATTAATGCAGACTGGTAATCCTGGATATAGTTTTAGAGGAATCCAGGTGTTAATAATGCCTCGCATTTTTGTAGGTTTGCTCAGTCAGTCCCAATAGCAGCTCTGTTACCTATATAATTAGTGGGCCAGGGTAGTTCATAAAGGTGGGCATTGCTTTCATTCCCATTTCAGAGTCAGCATGACAGGTGGTACTTTGCACCCAATCCTATGGCAGTGATTAGACTGGGGTTGGAGTGGAGCTGGGGATAGGTGTGAACAGTTCTGTGAACTGGAAAGCACCATACAGATGTTAGTATCAGGTGACTGCTACCTGTCCTGCTTTGTGCTGGGCCATCATTTAGAGTGTTTGGTATAACTGTCCTCACTACTGAGAACCTTCACATCTATAAAAGAAAACATGCCAACAGGCCAGTGCTATTCTCTGTATATGTGCTAGTAAAACACTTTTTTTAGCTGAAATGGCATAAAGTTAAAATATTTACAAAGATACCAAGAACAGGAATGTGATGGCATTTAACTTGAAAATCATAATATGCTGATCTCACCTGCTCATGTAAAACATTGGGGCTAATTTGTGGTTTTAAAGGTTAAGTGGATGCAGCATCCTTCATATTTATTACATTTGAAACATTTAGCTTTCAGCTATCTCCACCTCTTTGCACTTGAACTCAGATTGTTTTTCTTTCCTTGTTAATTTTTAAGGGGAATCTGCAGCATTAAGAAATTTACTGCTTAATCCACACCTTAGACAGCTGATGGTCGGCCTGGATCAGGGGGACAACAAGGCCAAGCTCATGAGAGCCTGCATGCAGGAGCCCTTGTTTGTGGAGTTTGCTGACTGCTGTTTAAAGATCGTGGAACCATCTCAGAATGAGGAGTTTTAAGATGGATTATTGTGCTGCTTGATCAGGCCTGTGTTTGACTCTCAGAACCTGCCTGTCCTCCCAGGAGACCAGCTGGTGTGGGGCCCTAAGCAAAGGCTGTGATTTCCAGGATGCAGACTAGCGGATGGAGGGTAGGTCACACAGGGCTTCACTTGCATTGCTGTGGGGCTCAGGTGTCAGGCAGATGGCGGTACTCAAGGTGGCTTTGCGGAGAGAAACGACATTCAAATGGTTGTTTTTAAGTTATTTATTTTTGGTAGTTAAGATTGATACCATAAATGATATAATTTATCAAGTATCATACCCATTTGAGTTAAAACTTGTGCAGTGTTACTAAATAAAATCAAGATACAGTGGTTCTGTGGTCCATTGCATTGTTCATCCTTGGTTCAAAATTGAATTTGAAATTAAATCAATGTATTAAATAAAGTTTTGTTCCTTTTTAAGGAACTAAATGCAAAATTTCCCCCAGCCAAAATTTTAGAGCAGATTTCAAGCTGACTCCCTGTTCTCTTTGTGGGGAATTGGTGGTGGTGGGGGGTACCCCACTGTAGTGACGGACAACCCTCAGTCCTGTTTGATTAGAGTTGGATCTGTGAAGGTAGTTAAAATGTGAACTTCTCGGTGGCCCTGAGGTTTCTTAATCCAGGTTTGGTAACTACTAACCCTGACACCTATCAGTGCTTGAGATGGTGACTGGAGTCCTTGGAGCCCTGGGCCCACTGGTGGATTTGCTGCAGCGGCCCTGGCTCGCGGCAGGCGAGAGAGTCGCTTTGGGAGTAGTTTGGCAGCTGTGTGTTGATTAAATGTCTTTGGCAAGGCAGCTGGCAGGAAAAGGCCTTGTAGAAACAAAGGCACCGTGGATCGGCCAGCCAGGGTAAGGCTAGAAGGTGAGAAGAGATCACACGTGACCCAGTCCATGTCTTTCCAGCAGAATCTGATTAAAGCCAGTAACACTGTAGGACGAGGGTTCAGGGCAGATGTCAGCGTAGCGCAGTGGAGACTTTCTGCAGTGAAATTTTATCGAGCCCTAGGGAGAGAGAGAGTCAGCTTAACCCTAGTTCCCAGGAGATCCAGGGCCTAAAGTTTCTCCCTGAGCGAATGCTAGGAATGTAGGGAGGTGGGGACAGGTGAGGACTGGCAGTCACAGCAGTAGCAAGACTGAGTTAAGCAGGATTGAACTAATCAGTGTTTTTTTCCCCCTTATTCTAAAACACTGGCAAAATCCAAAGTAGTATTAAAATATAAGAGTTCACATCCATTCAGTGTGAGACAGATGAGGAAATACTAGGAGGGAGCCCTCCCCAGTTAGGAATATCACCTGTCACAGTCCTACAACTGCTTAAAGCTGGCAGATCAAACATTTACGTTTCTGTTAATAACACTGGCTAGCCTGCGTGTTGTCATGAGAGATTTTACCTAGATCATGGCCTGTAGTAATTTCTCTGGCATGGAAATTCAATCTTTCCTTCCTTCTGCCTTGTTAAAGTCACTTAATCCTTGAGTATTAGCTTATTTTATATGCTGGCTGACTTTTTCCCTGGCTGCCCATAATATTAAAACGGAGCACTCGGACTACTGACTCATTTGTTTGCCATTTCCACAGCTGGAAACGGAGGTAAACCACGTGACACAATGTGAGGAAAACGTGTCAAATCCAGTGCCATTGGAGGGAATAAGCTGTCATCAAAACCCACATTTTTTGAAAGTGGTACTAATTAAAAGGAAATGCTAGAACATTTAGAAGCAATTTTTAAAAAGTGATGAAAGGGCTCTGGAAAATTCCTAGTTGTGATGATGGAACTAATGCAAACCTGCAGCCAGTTGGGAAGCCCAGGCTTCGGGTTTCCCTGGCAGGGTTAGGACTGCTCTGGTCCTCCACTTGCTGTGGACTCCTTGGCTTTGCCTCCTGCCTTTGACAGTGGGGTGTGAGGGGGTCAGAGCTGTTGCGGGCAGGACTGCCGTCCATCCCATCTCACGGCTTACCTGAGGCAGCGCTCGGATGGACGCGACACCAGCTTGTTCTTGTGCTGTCTGGATGGTGTAGCTACTGGGGCTGCTGCTGGGGAGCTGGAGGCAGGCCCAGACCACCATTTTCCTCTGAAAGCCACGTACACCCACGGCTGCGTTGGCCAGGACCAGCCCCAGGGGCCAGAGGCGGATTATTGCCCCCAGCAGCTGGGTCTGTGCCTGCGGCAGCGGGAAGGCACTTCGGGAACAGGGAGCTTGAGAGAAGTATTTTTCTTCCACACCATCCAGCTCTTTAGAAGCAAGAAAGGCCATTCTGATCTTAAAAAGAGAACATCATTTTATAGCTTTCGATTTATTAGCTCTCTTAATGGAAACCCAAACTACCTTTAATAAGTCAGCTTAACAAAGTGAACCGCAGGGTACCTGGCCGCCAACAGCCGGATGCCTCAATTAGACTGTGTGGTAGCACCTTACACCCACGGCACCTGTGCTTAGGCCTTCCATGTGCTACTTGAAAAAGGCAATAGCCTTACTGAGACCTAATGATATGGTATCAGATTCACTCCTTTAACATGTCCATGGTTTCTAGTGTATTCCCTGAGTTGCTTAGGTCACTCTGCAGTGTGGTGTCATGTCCATTCCATACATGAGGAACACGACCACCCGTTTTGCAGTGGCAGGGCCAGCATTCCAACCTGGTCCATCTGGTACCAGGACACCCACTGCCAACCGTGACTTCAGTCAGATACTCACTCTCCACTTCTGCCAGGCGCGCTTGATGACGGTGGCAGCTGTGTGCAGCCTCTGGACATGTTTCCGAGTTAACCAGGAACGGATGGCTATGGGGTTTGCCCCAAAACAACAAAGTGTTCATTAGAGCGCTTGGTAACCTGACTCCGCAGCAACACCAGAGCTGCTGCAAAAGTTTGAAACGGGCCGGCCGAGTGGCTCAGTTGGTTAAGTGTTGGCTTAGGAGCATGAGCTCTGAGCAGCAGGGCCGCCGGTTTGATTCCCACATGGGCCAGTGACACTGTGC